AGCAATCTGTGAAATATATCAAATTATGGTTGGTATGGTATGATTCATTACCTCTTGGTTGTTGTCCTTGAATTGTTTCAAAGCTTCCATTTGTTGCTTGCGAGTTTGATTTTCGTTTAGGAAAATGCTCTTGATCTCGGCGATCTTGTCGGATGGGATTCCAGCAGCGTTGGCTTTCTCCTCCATAACTCCAGCCTTATCGGTGATTTTCTTCTCGAATTCATCAACCTTGTCACGGAGTCCGTTCTTATCAGCCCAAGCAAGAAGTTGAGCGCGTTGTTCAGCAATAGTTAAGGATTCATTCTGGACGATAGTCATGAATTCTCCTCTGGCTGCTTCGCTCAAGTTTTTGAGGAACTCAGGCATTTTCTCAGCAACACCTGCTGGTACAGGGTTGGCGGCAGCCAATGCAACCAAAACAACAGCAACTAAGGCAGATTTGCAGAACATTATCTGAAAGAAATATAAATTTTAAAACTGAAAACAGAGTATTTGAATGATATAAGAGCAGGAATGAGGACTGTACCTCTGATGGAATTCCCCGAACTTTATATATCCTTTTCAGACTGGTCGAGATCTATCCACACATCATAACTCCACCCATTTACTGACTATGATTCATGTCTTATCGTAAATCACCACTCAAACGTACAAGTTCAATATATTCATAATTACAACTTGTTTTTCCAGGAAACTGATTTTCACACCTTTCAAAAAACATAATCTACAGTGCAACAGAGGCTGGAAGACTGGTATCCCTGTGTTTTAGTACCTATACTATTCCAATAACATTATTCTGGTTCAGGTGAGTGGGATAGTGATAGTGGTTTCCCAAAAATTAAAAATTCTTTGGTCCTTTCATATCCTACATGATTTTTCACGTGATTGACACGTTTTGGTTGCTCGAAGACAGAGTTTTGTTAATCTATGTCTTTCTTTAGCTCGTAGTTGTTACTACATAACGTTTTCAGAATATTTTAATCTGAAATTTTCACTAGATAGGATGCGAGAGGGTATTAATAGAAGTTCATCTTCTTATGGCTTCTATTGTTGAAAAAAAATTTGTCTCATCATCAGAACTAGTTCGAGTCCTCTGTCAATGAACCACTGAGTTCAGAGTGAAAATGAAAATTTTTGTTGCAATCAGAAAAGAAACGAAGTAATTGAATTAATCCTTCATCAAGTGAATGATACTCATGTTACAGAGAATTGGAATGCCTGCAGGGAAATGAAAGACGTTTCATAACTCATATCAGAGACAAACAGAATGTGACCTCTGAGTGATCATGTTCTTTGAACGGATCGAGTTTGAAAACTTCTTGTTTTCTATTATCGTAATACATTGGAGCAAGTGGTGATACATTTTTGTTGAAATGAATAAATAAACTGACATGGATTATTTAAGTTTTCTAGTTCAAGCTGCTCATCGTGACCGAATAGTTCGCTGACTCAACCATCCATAATATCTATTTTGGATTATCCATCTCATTTCTAATTCATACTTTTTCAAATACAAAATTGACAAAAACCATTACAAACTGTCTGTATTCGTACAGGGTAATTATACGCGATAATCGTTTGTCATACAATGGTCGTTGACTATGCGTATAACTAGAGACCAACCTCGTAAAAAAGGAAAAAATTGAGATGATAACTCCTTTAATAGACATGCTTTGATCATTATTTTCATGATTGTATACAGTGAAAGAGACGAGAAGAAGGTAGATAAGATGGCAGATATTATCAAGGAGCAGATGGCCATTCATACGTTCGACGTGCGGCAATTCTCTTCCCTCACTTCATGCATGCTTTGTCTATATCATTCAGCTTCTGTTCTGCCTTTGTTTGTCTATCATTCCCAATATAGTGAAGTATGTTAATTTTCATGATAACATCCGGTGGAAAAAACGAATTCCTCTTCATTAAATCAACGGAAAACTGTGATGTGTGACTGTTCTACGCACAGAAGGAATTTAGATCGTTTAAGCCGGGTCCTGATCTTCTAAAAGAATGATCAGTTCACAGCTTAAATCTCTATTTGTATTTAAAATATTTTCTTTCATTTTTAAAAATTGTTTGTCGACTGTTTGGTTTATGGTCAACGGAATATTTATTTATTATACATTTCACATAATTACAAAAGAACTTTGATTCAAAAAAAGAAATTCTATCATATGACTAAAGGGTCGTGTTGAAATCTGAAATATTGAAAGAATTAGTAATCAAATAACTTATAATATTTATATTACCAAATTGCTGATATCTTGGGTCGTTCGGGTTAACAATCCGCTTGACTACCGTATTCAGTCCGGTCTTGATGATTCTCATCATTAGTTCATTCAACAAATCCAGACGAACAATCAAATATTGATGGAAAAACCTAAAATATTAAATATTTTTGATGATGAAGGATGTTGTTGATCTACGTCAGAATCTCCAGTTCCTCTGTGCAGACTTTCGGAAACGTTATACACAGCTCAGGTACATGTGTAACGATATTCTGCATAAAAGCTTTTGCCAATGGAGGAGCATCACTCATAACCTCGTTGACCGTTTTTTGCGTAGCATACAAAGCCTTGAAAGAAATTATAAATAATTCTAATTATTTCCCTCTGCAACATACTCTTGATAAACAAGTTTTCTCACATAATTCATCTTGACAGAAATACTTTGTGAAAACGTTCACATGACATCCATCCGATTCCTTATCACAGCAGATTTCCACAACTTTCTTCAATGCTTTGCCATTATATTCTAAAAGATTTCAGTATCTACTGCAGATAGTTGTTTCACATACTGCAATTAGGTCCGAACTCTTGAAGCTTCATGAACTCGTAAGCGTAGTTCAAGCATACAGCTTGTGATTTCTCGCGGCCTTTCTCCATGAGATATTTCTGAATCTGTTCTGGCCTTCCATATTGAAGAGTCAAAAGATAACTGAAATAGGAGTGAAGTTGAAGATGTAGAGAGTTAATTGTATATTACCCTTCCATTAGGTTGACGTTAATAAAGGTCAGGAATATAAGCACTTCCACATAAATCATATTGTGAAATGAGAAGAAAAGAATTGAGAGCAAGAAAATGAGAGAGAGAGAGAGCTGAGATGAGTGAAATAAGGAAGGTGGGGTATAAAATATCTCAGGAAGCTGCCTTATGTAGATTCTTGTAAGGGGCGGAGATGAGATAACTTTATGATTAAATCAAGTGAAAGACCTTAAATTATGAAAATGGGAGAAAACAAAAACAAAAAGTTATTAGAATAAATAGTTTTGATCAAAGTTTCAAGGTTATCAGATGAACTGACGTTTGATTAACAAATTAATGAGGAAAACTAATTCTTGTTCGTTTCAGCTGTCTCTTCTCTCTTCTATATTTGTGCTCTGTATACGTTCTGAATATACGAACGAAAAGATGATGTATGTGGTACCTATTTAGAGGGTCCTGTTCAGAATTATCAATTGATGTGTGTTATCTTGTGATAGTTTCAAATGTTTTGCCCTGTTTGGGCCATGTGATTTACAACAGATGAATAATAGAGGGATTAACTGACGTAGCTTATTATTATTTCAGATCTATGCTAATTTCGATTGTGAATGTCTTGAACAACCTTATAGATTAAACGAATTAGGCTTTGCTTCCCGGAACTAGCAGCTTATGCTTGAAAAGTTTGCAACCTGACTCGCTTTTGTCAATAAATCAGCTATTACCATTTGAGTTGAATACATATATGTTGTGCTTGCAAAATATTCTTCAAATAGAACGTATATATTCATAAACTGTTCGTGTTCATAATGAAACGAATTTGATCAGACTCTGATGAGTCACGAATGTCATTGATGAGATGTTCATGAAAGTTTCAAAGCTCACAACTCAATGTCCCAAATAAGAGAGCATTGTAAGTGGATAGTATGAGTTACGTTTCTCTCGTTCATCTGCTTTCCTTCAAACAGTTTTTGGTCGGAACAAAACAATTTTTGCTTCATCTACCTCATTAGTTGGAGATTTCCCCGTTTTATTAGCAAACTTAATTTCGCAGACAGCAGTTTGAGTGAATTATGCTATTTGATAAAGATTTCACGAGTTTAGACAGGATTTTTTGAATTTCATTGAAGATATTTTTTCTTTGGTTCTATACATAAATCATACCCAGTTCTAAAATTTTTTACTATAGATAGAAGAAAGAAGCTTAGCTCATGGCATCACTGATCTCATGATCTTATCATCTTTGACAACAACTGTTAAGCTCTAGATAGAGGTAGTAGCTCAAACACTTTTGAGACTTTTTCATTTGGAAAGAATGGTGTTATATATTGTAAGAATATTATATTACAAACTATTTATTCCCCCCCCCTCTCTACTCGGAGTTTGCAGCTGCTCTCCGTAAACACTGGTAGAGCTGCTATGATTAGAAGGTTTTAATCATAGATCTACGTGAAGTCGTTTCCGGACTGTTCAATAACGAAAATATATTGTTATTTCATCTAAGGTAGAAGATTGTTTAAAAATTTTTGTAATAGAATGATTATATTTATAGCGAGGGAGCGAGAGGTAGCATGAGATGATCCTCCGCAATGCGCTGATCATGAAGATTAATTTCTGCAAATTGGAATTCGTGAGAAACCACTTTGATATAGACATAGGCAATGATTTAGACCTTCCTTCAACTTTTCTCAAAAAAACAAGACAACATGAAGTTACTGTCTACATGAAGCTACAGTTAGTGATCATGAGATGATTCAAAATGAAAAACTCAAGTGAAAGAGAGAAAAAACTTTATTCTTATTTTAAAAAAAGGTTTAGTTTCTCTGAAAATACATGACACAAGATGAAAACTAGTTTCAATGGCTTGAATAGCTGGCTTTTCCCTTCTCTGGTTCTTCCTGAAAGTTACTATATACTTTCGTGTGTAATGGTTGTAATTGGTTATAAGGATAACCATGTGTGATTGAGAAGAAACTCACCTCCTTCATGGCAAATTGATTCTTATCAACTTGCTTAAGATTGACACGGAAATTGACTTTGGAGTTCTCTTTCTTCTTCAGTTTGTTGAATTTGCCCTCAGTCTTGGATACCTTCTTCAATGTTGGTTTGACGCTAAATAATGATCATGTTTGAGCTTTGTTCAGAAGCTCGAGTAGTTGAGCTTATTCCAACTTACAATTTTCCTCGAAGATCATTGACAGTAATAGTCAACTCGTTGATCTCGAAGTCTTTTTGACGGATAAGGTAAGAGATGTCGTAGTTTTCACTTTCCAACTCAATAAAACGTGTTCTCATTTGCTCGTATGTGTCAGCCAAGTCTTAAAAATACGTTGAAAGCATTCTATCGGCTGTAGAAATTTACCACAGTCATCGAGGTCGGGAAGAGGAATGATACGCTCTTGCAAGATACGTTGACGTTCTTGTTCTTTCAACATTTGTTGTTGTTTTAAGTCTTCAGCTGCTTTCATCATCAAAAGTTTCTGAACATTGGTTGGTTTAGTCAAATGTTTCTAGTCCGACACATACTCTGAGCTTCTTCTTTCTTTCTGGGGTTAAGAAACCTTTCTTAGCTTTCTTCATACGGCTGGCTTCCTCTAAACGCTTTCTGACTTCTTCCTTCTTACGTTCGCGCTCAGCGACTTTGCGAGCCTAAAAACAATTTCGTTTTATTGAACTGTCTTCAATCATGATATTGAATATTGAACTAATGGATATTGGGATATAAACTGAATAAAACTAAGAATCATTCTCACAGAATTTGAGAATAACTAAATTAAACTAAAGATTCTAACCAAATATGGTAAACTAGACTGAGTTCAACTTACTTCCGCAGTCATATCTTCATATAATTCCTGTCATTTTTTAAATTAATTGCTTTAGATATACTAATAATATCATTTGTAATAAGTTATTATTATGATTATCTTGTAATATTCATATTGAGTGATGTTACTTTCCGTTATCTTCAAGTGGATTCTACCGGAGAAATTGAAGTAAATAGAAGGCCGAATCACGGGATTTACCCGCCTACACACAAAACGAGATATCTCCAGTAATTTTTAGCAGAAAAATTTCGTTGAAAGATTTTGATGATGTTTTTCCATAAAATCCAAAAAAATATTTTTAAATAAAGAAAAAAATGAAAAACAAAGGTTAATGTTCGCGTAACATTTTTGAAAAAAAAATTTTTTTGGTAAGATTTGCAAAACGAACCTCATCCTCGTCAACGTCGCTTTGCATTCCCCCGAAGTAACGGGGAGAGTCAATGATTTCAAATGACATCTGAAAGTAGTAGAATTGTATATATAAAATGTATGAAATAACTATATAATCAGGATGAAAAATCATAAGAAAAACGAAGCATGATGGCTTGGAAGACTGGCATCTTGAAAACAGACTGTTGAATGATTTGTTGGTACAGAAGGCGTAGGGTGGAGGCTTCTGAAGTGGCCGGTAAATACATTTTTGATGAAATATTGCTCGAACTAAAGAGGAGTTAAGCAATCAGAAGAGAGAAAGATGAAATAAAGAAAATCGAAGAGATATGGATTGAGCTACGCTCACCGTTAGTTTGTGTACTTTGTGACAATCTAGATGTCACCACCAGTCGAAGCTTCACCAAGCTTTTTCTTATCCTAGCTGAGAACAGTGTGAATTCTTCGCTCAATTGATTGATTTTAATTTTCAACTCAAAAACGAAATCTACGTTCTGTGACGAAAGCAGATGTTTATAAGCAAGCAAATCTTATTTTCAGATTATGGCTTTTAGATGGAAGACTATGACTATGACGACACCTCTTATCAAATCCGTTTAGAAATGGCTTTCAATTCGTTTTTTAACCTCTCATCTTCGTCAAAGAAGACTTTGAAAATAGAAACGACACGTTTTAGAAGCTTGCAGCGCAAGGGTTTGCAAATTCTGCTTGGAGGGGTCAAGCTGTTGAGTTTTCTTGACAAATGATTCAGTTGAATTCATGCAAGGCATTGAAATCGTTAAACAGTCTCATGTGTATTCTGTGTGTAGATTGAAATGCATGTTTCATTCTTTCGTTCTTCATCTCAGGCTCTTCTATTCCCTTCTCGCTTTCACTGAATAGTAAATGTCCTTAACGACAGCATGTCTCAAACTAAATGATAGTTCAACATCTCAGCAAGCAATGGAACAAGATACTCTCTGTTTCTACACTGCTTAGATTTCATAAAATTTATTAATTATTATTTAAAATCTCTAGGAATATAAATAAACACAGATGTGATCATCTGACTGATTGAGGTACGCAGTATGTCCTTGCATGATCTGAAATCATTTATTAGTATTTATCGGCATATTTGGTATTAACCTTGGACATTATGTGTGCGAGATGATGGTACATAAGGACTCTGATATCCATGACTGCCCGTTGTATACTCAGATGAGTCTGAAAGAAAGAAAAACACTGTTTTCTTTGAGTTTGTCCACTATTTTTGTTCTTCCGGTCTTATTCGAAAGTCTTGATAGCATCTTCACTCTCTCTCATGTATCAACTGAAAACTCACATGTTGTTCCACTCATAGAACTTGAACAAACTGAGCCATAGTCGGGAGCACGAATGCATCTAAACGATTGATGTTTGAAATTTGATATGCTCCAAAATTACTTTATATGTATAATATATGTTGAAATAAAAATTGTGATGATGAGCAGAACGACAGTGCTAGCAACAGCAATAGCTATCTGCCATCGCAAGAAACACATGCGATCTTCCGTAGACGATGAGTTTGATGTATAAAACTCTGTAAATGATTATGTTGAGTTTCTATGACTCTCCCTTGTTCATCTTGTCGAGCATTCGTAAATGAATACTCTGATATCAGATAATAATACTGTACCTGGTTTTGGTTTAGACTGTTTCTTTTCTTGTTTGAAACGTGATTGAACGGCTGAATCATCTGGATCAACAACAGTTAAGGTTCCCATTACAAGTCGGCGGGTATCAGCCGTTCTTATGTCATTAACCACGTCATTTTCTTCGATTACAGTCGTAGACGGCTGCAAATTATTTTCATTTTTTTGTGTTTTTTGGTTGTGAACAATAGTTTTCAATATATTACTCTATCTAAACATTTGCATTTTGATAATGAAAAAACGTTGATACCCTTTGTTGATCATGCAGACGGAAATCAGGTCGAATGCGACTGAGAAGTTGTTGTAGATCTTTCATTGATTGACGCTTCTTGCGGCCATAGCTCTCTCCACTTTGATGTGTTAAACCATCACAAACAACCTTGAATATACAACATGTTTGTTTGTCTAGGCAATGTTTTATTTATGCTAATTTGATTTTCACGTGAAATGTGTTAATGTCCCACGCATAACAATCTCTATCATTATTTGTTAATAAGTTGTTCACACACACGTGTTACGTCTCAATCTCATGATATCCATTACTTATTATATATTAACTATTATTATTTCAGAATGAACTTCAAGAGTTGTGTCGTTGTGCCAGAATATGCATTAATAGGAAATGAAATACTTAAGAATGTTGCAATAACTGTTAATGAAAACGGAAAAATCACAGAAATTGCACCGTTTAGTGAGAATGCTGTCGTCGGAAACGAAGTAATTAAGCTAGCAAACGAGGTGATAAAAGATTCAAAAGAGTTTTTTTCAAAGTTCTCTGTACAGGTTCTAGTACCAGGATTTGTTAATGCTCATTCACATGCCTTTCACAGACATCTCAGAGGTCGAAGCGAAATTGGTGGTAAAACAGCAGAAACGTTTTGGAAATGGAGAGATAATATGTATGGGCTGGTTGATGGTGTTACTAAAGAGAAACTCTATGAGGTATCAACGTTAAAACCGATTTGTAACATGAAATCAAGTTAAGTATTGTCATCAAACATTTCTGGAGATGTTATCTGCTGGAATTACTACTGTTGGAGAGTTTCATTACGTACATCATTCTGTGAACGGGCGTTTTGATTTGGATTCTGCTGTGATCGAAGCAGCTCAAGACGTAGGAATTCGTTTAGCGCTCATTCAGGTAAAAGAGAGAATTGGATATACCAGATATGTCATAATCCTGTAGACACTATATGAGAGAGCTGGATTCGATAATGGACCAATACACCCGGTTCAAAAAAATTTCATTTCCTCTTATGATGAGTTCATCGAGAACATGGATAAGCTAACGAAACAAGTTACTCAACCAACTGTTTCATTAGCTGTTGCAGGTATGTGTAGGAAGGTTGATATGTAGTAATAGAGGGAGTTTCCAGCTCATTCGGCTAGAGGAGTCTCTTTAGAGAGTATTCAAAAATTATTCAAGTACTCTGAACAAAAAAATATGGCTTTTCACATTCACTTAGAAGAGCAGCCAAAAGAGATTGATGACTGTTTGAGTATTTTGAAACTGAATAAGGTAACATCAGAAGTGAGCGATACTATCAACCGAAAGTTAAGACTCCGTCAGATCTTCTTTTGGAACAATTAAACCTTGGAAAGACATTCACTTCCGTTCATTCAACTTACACTACACCTAGTAACATTGGAAAGTTTGCAGAACGGGGATGTAACTTGTGTATTTGTCCTTTAACGGAAGGTACTATGAAGTAGTGCAACAGCTTTTCATAGAAAGAGTTTCAGGTTATCTAGGAGATGGCTTTCCATATTTACTGCCCAATCTTCCGATATGCTTTGGAACTGATTGTAACAATCGTATTTGCTTTTTAGAGGAAATGAGATGGGCTTGTTACACGCAACAGGTAAATTTATCATTATAAGCTCAGCTTCTTCTGTCTGTCAGATGAAGTTCAACAGCCGAAGTGTTGTTGGTTTATCAGCATCAAAACTACTTGAAGCTGCAACAGTAGGAGGAGCACGATCGCTTTGTTTAGAAGAAAAAGTTGGAAAAATAGAGGTATATATGACGATAGAAATATTTTTTAAAGGCAGGTTGTTAGGTTGGTATGCAGTTTGATGTGGTGTCATTCGATCTGACTTCTCCAACGTTGAAGAATTGCCAAAAAACAGATGAGCTTATCGATTCTATAGTTTTTGGATGTGGAAACAGAGAAATCAAAAGAGTTGTTGTGAATGGGTATCAGAACTCAAGCATTAAATATTCAAGTTGAAGCATGTAAGTCATTCACTTGTGGCCCTTAACGTATACTCCAGTAGCATTCACAACAAAAGAATTCGAAAAAATTAAAAGAAAGAGAGCCATTCTAAATTTCTAGATATCTGTTTCTGTTGCTACAGATAAAGAGGGTTACAGTAACATTTTTTTCTTGAGTATACTCTAATGGCCACAATCATATCGCATATCATAATTAGAGCAAAACTCACAGGCTGGCACCGGTCAATACAAACATCGATAGTACATTTGATTCGAACTCTGCGGCTACCATCAAAACGAAATACCTAAACATATAAGTTATAGAACATATTCTGAATCTTTTTTTTTCTGTAAATAAATATTATTTTACCTTCAGTCTAGTAGAATACGATTGTTCTGGATGTGATTCCACAATCGAATCCAACAAACGATTTCTCACTTTTTCTTCCGGACAGCTTCAAAGAAAACTATTCAAGGAAATTGGCTATAGATATACCCTTGATGAATTATTTTGAGAGGTTCTGGAGAGGGTTCAGCTCCCCCAACACGTTCAGCAACACATTCGTTGATGAAGAAGCCCAAACCTTCTTCTGGGTTTACCACTAGAATCATTTTAATCGGTATAGGTGCTAATGTAGGCTTTACCTGTCCAATGTAGTTCTACCACTTCCCCAAGTGGTACTATCGTCACTGGGTTGCCATTTCGTAAAATTTCCATTTTGATTTTTTCCGAATGAATGTCCTCTCTGACATTCTCTTTCTTCTCATCATACTCGGATCGTCGTCTAGAAGAACGCTTACTTCTTCGAACTTTCCTCAAAAGTTACCCCAAATTAGTTTTTGTTTTCTCGACTAATTCTGTATAATCACATGTGATGTTGAAGACTCGGTCGGTAGATGTCAGTAACAACGGCGATTCCATGTCGTTCCGCTGTATGACAACCATGAATGACCATAAAGATGGAGCCTACAACTTATTCGCGTATTTCTCGCCATGTGGTTCTTAATACCAGTTCGATACCGGGACAACGTGGTTCATTCTCATTACTATCGGGATAGGGAATATGAAGAACAGAATGAGATGAATTCTGAAACTCGGCGCGACAAGTTGAGAAATGGTCCTGTAAAGATGTTTTGGAAGTTACTAGTCTTAAAACTACTGAAAAACCTTTATAAAAATTGTTCCAGTTGTTGGTTGAAGGAATTCAACTGTAACCGAAATACCTGACATGCGACATTCAGTTACCAACTCTGACATCAAAATGTTTTATTTGTTTTTCTTGTAGCTGAAAACTAACTTCCTTTTGTAGAATTCGACATTTGTTCATTAAAATCCCTCTCATCATCAATAACTGTTTCTTCTGTTTCAGCATGCACTTGTGAAACCTTTTCGTTGGCTCCGTCAATATTCTGAAAATAAATGTTTTTCTCATTCTGAACTGGATTGTATACGACTTCATCTACTATTTCATGTAAAGTAGCTTCTTCTCGAAACTTCTTAGTAAGAGCTCCTTTGGAAACCGGCTTGCGTGTATTATCGAGTTCCTCAGATGGATCAGGCTTAGGGTCAAAATCAGTTGTGAAATCAGGTGGAGGAGTAGATGACGGGGGAGACGGTAATAAGACTTTCTCTTCTGGTGGGATTGGTATAGAATCACAAATCTAAAAATTAGTTTCAATGAAATATTCTCTTTATGATGTTTACTTTATCAAAATAATCTGAGTTCTTGTCAAACACGAAGGCATCCGGCTTGGAGAACTGTGAAAATTCTGAGAAATGGCAGCTGTCCTATAAAACTCCATGTAATTTTAGTTCCTCGAATAGCCGATTGATTTTCAAAAGTTTAAAAATGAAAATTTCGAAAGTACAGATAAATCTTCATAACCACTCGAAAATATAATTGAAAAGAAATCCAGTTTCAAATTCACTTTCACAGCGTTCGGTAATTAGGAACATCGCTGAGAAGAAGACAAAGTTGACAAGTTTAAGAGAGAGTTACAGGTCATTTAGAAGAATTGTAAATATGAATGAAAAAAATTAAAACTCACGGTGTTATAATCATACGTAATTGAAGCACAATTAGCTCCCTCGTCTATACACAACGATAGGCAATGATGTACGGAAACTGTATTCAAGATCTTGAATTATGGCAATTTCTCTATATTCACAGTCTTTCACCTACCTTATATGGAGGATTGTTTATCTTATGATTTTTGATCAACTCATAAGAAGTCTCAATACATCTTACTGTACCTAAACAACAGAAAAAGAAATCACAGATTATTAAACAACTTACTGTTCAGGCAAATCTTCTGATAATACTCCCCGTTCGATATGGGGTTCAGGTTGAAGTTGCTCGAAGGTCTAGATGCTTTAGCACTGAAAGAGTTCAAATCCGCAGAGAGATGACATTCCTCTTTAGACGATGTGTAGACAAAAGAATGACAGGGAAATTTGTCTTCTCCTATCACATTAGCCTTAAACAGTTACTTTGTTTTTACAGCTATCAAGAGAACCCACTGAGCAGAGAGCTTTGCATTCGTCTGAACTCATACTCTCTATGATAACATCTTTCTCTGCTGAAAGCTGATAGTCCTCTGACCGCAGCCAGTGAACTGATGAACAAGAAACTGTAAAATGTTTTTTTTTTTTAAAACTTCTATGAATTGTTTACCATCCATGCATATATTCTCGAAATAGTCAACTAAAGTGTCTTGAATCTCAGTTCTGAAATATGGGTTTGTTCGGAAAGGTATAACTGGAAGTACTTGAAAAGATGCGGATAGTTTTCTTTCGTAGCTCTATTCATGATACATTCTCCTGTTTCATAAAAGTACATAACAGATGAACAGGAAGATCGCAATAACGTTTGTTCTTTCAAACAATGTGATAAACACTGTGACAAGCTGTCTGTGCTCACTACCTTAAAAGCAACATTCGAGTCTCATACACATTTTGAAACATACTGTCATGGCTAAACCGACTAGCATACTTTGAGGATGACGTTCAAAAGTATAAGGTGAAGGACATATATATTCTTCTTAATTAATTAATTAGGATAAGAATATAATTGTGAGATACCATCAATGCATATTTGCTGAAAAAATGATAACGTCGGTTCAGTAGCTTTAGCTAGAACAGATGGACCGATAGGTTGACCGTTTTCTTCATGTAAGGAGCATTCTCTGGTAAGAGAGTCATACTCAAATGAAGCACATTTGTGCCCCTGAGACAAGAAAAAGCATTGAATTGAGTTTCATGAGAAGCACAAACTTTAATTTCTTGTGTGCATGCATCAGCACAGCTATTCAGAGATACATCTTTGATTGTATGAATTGCAAACTCCATCAGACGAGTGGATGAGCTTCTTAGATAGGTAGTGGCGTTTAATCCATTGCATATTGTTCCTTAAGTAATTCATATAGCAAATCAATAAAATATTTATTTATTATAATTTATTTTGTAATATTTTAATATAATACACGTCAAAATACACAAATACACACACGCTATGCGGATCTTTCATTTGTCTTTCAATTTTTGGTGATAGAAGGGATACTCTAAGGGAGATTAATACAACATGGTTATTTGAAATAAGTTCTAAGCTTCAAAAAAAGGGAAACAATTTCGTTTGGCAAGAAAAACAGCCATAATCAACTGAGTACTTAAGTAGAGTCGACAAGATGTTGTTGGTGATCGGTTTTGATGAACAAAATATAAAAAAAAAGTTAAACAGAGAGATAATCTACTCTCGTTGCGTTTAGAAGAATTAGAAAAACAAGAGATGATGTGTTAGGCTAGACAAAATTTGAGATCTATCATGTTATATTCAGAGAAAAATTTTATAGAGATTTGGCTCATGATCTTTCGTATACCTCTTTTCTCTTTAAAAGCTTTCCCTCACTCTCTCTCTCTCTCTCTCTCTCTCTCCGTTTTATTGATCTTTTTGAAAAAATAAAAAGCAGAGCTTCATACCGTTTACAGAAGAAATAGTTACTAGAGTAATAAATAGGAGAGATCTTAACATTCCGAATATACAAAAGAATGAGATTGTGAAAACGTATTCTTAGAAAGAAGAATACGTTACCGGACGTTCTATGATGAAAGAGAGAGTATACTGAGGTTATTACTCGATGAAGGTGAAATGGATCGTTTGGAAACGCTGCCTGTTGAAAATGAGGTCGACTAAGCATCTTTTCTTCCTCATCTGACGATGTCCAGTTGAATTTGAAATTCAGATGTCTCGGCCATCGTCAGATGACCTGTTAGACAGACAGTTCCTTTGCGTTGTCTTCTCGGTTCTCCGATGGGTAATTACCTCTGTCAAGAGGTTCTTTGTCATCAGAACGTCGAAGAAGAAAGTAAAAGGTTCTTGCTTGGGGGTCTGAGAGAGAATGAGTAAGAGGGATACATCATGAGGGGACGAACGATTTTAATTTGAAAGGGAGAATTACGAAATCTAGAAATTGGGATCTCATCATTTCACTCGATTGAGCCAACAACGGTCTGGAGAAGTGAGGAGAACTGTATTGGCTAAGAGAAAAGCAATAAGGAAACTTGCATGATAACTATTACATATATGTATATATATTATGGATACAATAATTACAGGAAATATAAATCAAAACAGACTGAACCCATGTAGTTGTTAAGTGTTACTTGTACATCACCAGTTTTTCTAAGTTTTTTTTTACATGGAAAAAAATACCTAATATTTAAATAAAAATGGTTTAGAGGAGAGAAAGATCGGGTAGTAAAAGAGAATAAAGAGAATGAAAATAGAGAGAAAGGGATGACGACTACGATGAAGGAGGAGAGGGAAGCCTGTGGTTTTTCATATTACGTACGGCTTTAAACTGATATTCACAAATAGATTGAGGGGGTGTAGCCGGAAATGAAATATTGAAAATCAGAAGAAAAATTAACGATCAAGACATTCAACCCGATGATTTGAAATTAGTTAAAGTTTGACAGACAAGAGAAATGCAATTTAAATAAAGATTCAAAAGTCAAACTTCAAAATTAACCCATCGTGTCAACAACAACTCACAAATAGAATTCTAATATTAGTCAGATGAAACATAAGAATAGCTGAGATATTAGAAACGGTTTCTAGTTTACATTCGTATGATCTGAATGTTAATCAGAATCGTTTGGGATTTATAAGAATATGTTTCACTAGAAATACATATTAATTACAGAGTATTGCCCCATGAGAAATGGAAAACTTTCCATTTTTAAAAAGATCAATGAGTTCATAGAATTGAAACAGCTTCCATATTTAGACTAACATCGTCTCGGCCTTTATCTCATACTGAGATTGGAGAGGAGGCATTGATGTTAAAAGGTTGTTTCCGAAGAAATTAGAGAAAAGGGTCGGTTGAGCTGTGCCTATCGGCTGAGGAGCTGGCAAGGTAGTTGTTAAAGATGGGGCTGAAGTTTGAAGACCAGCAGCTAATGATAGAAGCTGACTTAAATCAGCCGAACTCTGTGGAACAGGAGTTGGAACAGTAACCGTGGGAGTTGGTGTTGCTGAAGAAACAGCTACAGCCGAGTTCAATTGGTTCAGAAGAAGCTGTGTGTTCAGAAGTTGTTGTGATAAAGTTGATTGTTGTAAAAGATCATTTTGATTACACAAAAGACTTTTGAGTAAGAGGGACGCTAAAGGATTTTGAGCTGTTGGTTGAGCTACTGCAGCTTGAAGAGCTTCAGCTGTTTGTTGTTGTTTAATCGGCACCACAGAAAATGCTGAAGATAGAGACTCTGGCATAAGAACATCATTGAGCATTGGAGCTTTAGTAGCCGTTAAAGGACCAAAGTCGTTTGTAATCGACTTAATCTATAAAAAACATATTTGAAAAAATCAAGAAATGTTGCAGCTCACGTCTGAAGTGAAATTGTTCGCTTGATGAAATGGTCGCACGTTCATGTGATGAAGGTTGTGATGGTTTGTTAAGTCTCCGATCAAGTTCATGCTATCCACCGAGACATGGCTTTGGTTGCTCATGACGGGTAAGAATGGATGCGAAGCTGACAAATCTGAAAAGTGAAACAAAGAATAAAAAAAAATGAATGATTCAACTCACTTTCGTTAACAATATTCTTTTTGTCATCAGTTGATGCATCTGAATCAGTATCAACGTTGATGGGTCCCTCTTGCAGCTGCTCAAGGTAAGACTGACACTGCTCGACATGGATTTTCAATCCGACTTTCTGCACATAACTTTTACCGCAGCCAATGCAAGAATACCTAAGAACAACAAATAGATAAGAAATGAGAAAAATATTTTAGACTTACGGTTTCTCTCCCGTATGAACGCGTAAATGAGCTAACATATTTCCTTGGTTAGGGAAAGTTTTCTCACAATACTTACAACTGGAAAAAATAAGATAAAAACTCGTTAATAAATTAATCAAATTACCTAAATGGCTTCTCCCCGGTATGCAATCTCATGTGGCAGGATAAGCTGCTGGCGTATGGATATCGTTGACCACAGAATTTGCAAACATATTCTGGCTTTTTCGCCTTTTCTTCGCTCTTCAAGTTATTATTCAAATGTTGAGCATTGTTGTTGTTTGTCGGGCTCGCGATGCTTGATGAAGAAGCGGAGGAAGTTGATGATGGAGATGAGGACATGACCGTTGATGTTGTGCCTCCACAAACATCAATGTGCTCTTCCGAACAAACTGATGAGTTTGAACGAACAGATGATGCGGAAGAAGATAACTGTCGATTTGATGAAGCCGAAACGTTACTGCCGTGAGTAGCTTCATGAGCAGTTAACTGGGATTTCTAAAAAAAAGTAAATAAAATAAGTGTGAAACTTCTTTATGCTCACCTGTATGAAGCTCTTGCCACAAGTGCCACACATGTAAGGACGTTCACCCGTGTGAGTTCGTTCATGTGATTGTAAATTCCCCTGACTTGCAAACTTTTTGATACAATAACGGCAATGATATGGACGTTCACCAGTATGAGTTCGAACATGAATCTGCAAAACATGATACTTTATCAATAAAAAACAAAACATTATACACCCCGGAATAATCATAGGGATGATCCCAGTAATGCACCCGGGTTGCACCCAGGTTGCACCCAGGTCGACCTTCACATATTGGAAGGTTTGCATATATGGGTTTAAGATGTAAAAGAAAACTTACTTGTAAGCTACCGGCGTAAGCAAAACGCCTGTTGCAAAAACTACACAAATGTTTCCGTTCAGTCTGTTCGTGAACTTGTTTGACATGTAATTTCAAATAGTTTTTCAAAGTAAACGTCTTGGGGCATTTTGAACACTGAAAATCGTAGGATGTAAGCTAGTAAGGAAGAAAACGATTAATACCTTGAAAGCTTTATCTCCATGAGTCTTCTTGTGGGTATATAAAGCTGATGGAGAAGATAAACATTTGAAGCATTTAGGACATTGATAGTTACGAATACCTTAATTGGTTAAATGATTATATAAATTATACTAAGTAGATGTACCTAGATGAGCACTCTTTTCATGAACAGTCTTTGTGCCGTATTGGGCAAAAGTTTTTTCACAGTAACGACATTTGTAACTTAAAAGAAGATGGGAATAACTAAGAATGTTTGTTTAAACTAACGGTTTCTCTCCTGTGTGAGTACGTTCATGTACTTGTAAAGTTGCTTTCTGGGCGAATTTCTTCTCGCAGTAATGACAACTAAATGGTTTCTCTCCTGTATGACAGCGTTTGTGTGATTCAAGAATCGATAAATAAGGAAAAGCCTATAGTTGTAATGTTGTTTATGTAAATTCAAGGTTGTCATCATACCTTTCCGCACATTTCACAAACATGTCGCTTTTCAATTGTATTAGGTCCTGTGACGCTGTGGCTGGACACGGCTGAAGTCGATGACTGAAAAGGATATGTTTGAGTTTTGTAATGAGTACATCAGATTCATTTCTACATTCTACTGTAATAGATGCATTACTTACCTCTGCTGAGCTGCGAGGACTGTCTGATTGAGAACCCAACTGAATAGGAGAAGTGCTGGCGATAGAAGTTCTCTGTGGTGATGAGCCTTCAGAGCTTGATGTATCACTACAAAGCTGAAAAAAAAGCGATTCATCTCTAAAAGTTTACGGAGAAAACTAACCATTTCTGCTCCATCCATCATTTCTTCATCGTCCTCATCTACATGTAAATTCTCATCGCTATCAACGTCTTCATCAACAAGTTCATCTTCTTCATCTTCCAGTTCATCATCGCCTTCCATTTCTTCATCTTCTTCCAATTCTTTCATATTCATTTTAAGATTTTCCTCATCATCTTCCTTTATGGAACAAGAGGAGGTAGACAACTGTTTTACGATCATCTGATATGCTCGTATTTTCTGCAAATATAGAATATAGAATCAGAGATAGAAAGTTCGAGAGAGAAAATGTGAAAGACAATTATACATATGATTTCAACAGATTAGAAGTAGAACATAATCATCGAGAGGAGGGGGAGGTGAGGAGGATTTCGAGAAACTTGATTGAACATCACATAATTTGTCATTTTTTTTTAGCAGATAAGAATTATCAAGAAGTTATGATAAGAAAAAAAAAAGAAAAAAAAAGGAAACAATTAAAGATGATTTTCGTTCAATATAACGAAAAGGAAATAGATGAGAACAAAAGCATTTGATTGAAGAATGGAATTTTCGTGAAAAAAAAATTAAAAAGTAGAATGGCGTTTTTTTTTCTTTGAGCGCAAAAACTTCATCCCTCACTATTCGAAATCACAAATCGAAGGAGAAATAGAGAGAGATAGATAGGTAGATATAAAGAGAATGAGGGAGAAAGACAGAAAGTAAGATACAATAGAGATGGAGAAGAAGAGAAGGAGGGAAATGCAAGTTTTTAATAGTACAACTGTATTGAGCTAAAGATAATCAAAGAGCGAAAAAGTAAAGAAAAAAATTGAGAAAATAGACACAACATCAGGTGAACTACACTGACTGCCGTCTATGAGGTTCTTGTGTTGACATTCTCTCTCTCGTTTTCTCTTTGATTTGTCTGTGCCACAGAGAGAGAAAAAAAAGAGTTGCCCATCATCGAAAGTAACGAAAAACCAAATATAAGAAATTTCTGTGTGATAGAAAAAATGCTGAACGTTTGAATAAGAGAATCGGCCCAACCGTTTCCACTGTAAGCATTGATCCTCATACAGTTTGCACTGTTTTACTTGAAAGAAAAACGAGAAAAACTGTTTGAGAGAATGAGAGAGATATAGAGAGAGAAAGAGAGAGTCAGAAAGAGTATGAGTTTTAAAAAAATGTTAGAAATAATGAGATGAGAATGAATATGTATGAAACCAAAGGTTTGAAGCTGCCTGTTGTCATTGACGGTGGAAAGATCTAAGCTCAAAGAAGATGTTGAGGTGACGAAAAGCAATATGGTATATGGTAATGAAAGGTATGTTTATCATTTTTCTGACTTCATAAAACAAATAAATAAAGAAAATATTTAGAGAAAAGAAGAGAATAAATGTTTTTTTTCTGAAGATCAATCAGTTGTGATGATTATGCATTGTTTGGAAATAATAGGAAAGTATGTGAGTTTTTAATAAGACAACATGAAATGTGAATGGAAAGGTTAAAAATGAGAATTGAATGAGAACTCATTTGAATACCATGGAGACGTCAGGATGATGAACAAGAACAAGAGCTGCACAGCACGAATGGTCAGCTGGGTTTTTTTTTCTTGAGCATTGCCTTCATCTCCTCCTCCTCCTCCTTATTCTTTTTTCCTTCGCTTAGATACACCCTTTTACTATCTAACTTTCTCTTTTTCTTTCTTTCTCTCACTTCTTCTCTCTCTCCGCCTTTTACTCAATCTCTATCTCATCTTTTGTTGTATCTTTTTCTTCATATTCTATTTTCTTTAATTCTCTTTTTACTCTATATCAAATACTCAATTTATTCGTCAATATGCTATGTTAAGAGAGAAATAGAGAGAGAGAGAGAATGAGAGAGAAGAGCATTATCTGAGAGAGACTAGCAGAAAAATCAGCCTGAGGGACATATAGCTAAAGAGACTCGTCTATTATTTTGTTTTTTGATGTTCCCACTGGTCAACACGGAATGGCACCAAGCTCTACCCTTCATTCTTCTCCACATTTTTCATCTTTTTTTCCTCTGTTCTCTCTCTCTCTTTCTATTTTTTTCAGACCAACATACACAACACATTGACAACACAACATAGACCAAAAAAAATTGAAGAGAGAGAGAAAGATCGAGGAATAGAAAGCGAAACAACAGAGGAAAAAGAAATGTGAAGATAAAGAAAGTTGAATATGACACGGAAAAAAAAGAAGAATCATCAGATGAACCGAACGGCTGGATACAGGATTGAAATACAAAGAGAGTGAGAGGTGATGAGAGAAGAGAAGAGTATGAACAGAAAGTATAGATAGAGGAATGATTGCAGTTTTAACAACACACAAAAAAAATAAAAAAAGAAAAGAAGAAGGAATATGGAGAAAAAATTATATTGTAAATGAATGACACAAGCACATAAATAGATGTAAACAATCACTGCCTGATACACAGCAAAAAAAGAAAACGAGTAGATCAGAAATAGATCAGAGTGAATCTTTCTCTTTCTTTTTCTTTTCATCAAACATTTCAAATGAAAATTAGTTTTGAGTGAGACATGTTGCCATTTGAAGGCAGACAATGTGTATTTCGAAAATTAGTGGAAAGCTCCCCTTCTCTTTCACCTCTACTCACCCCCCCCCCTTTTCCTCCGCAAAAGGCATGGGAAATACAGTGGAAGTGTTTTATTATTTTACTATTTCAAATAAAGCTTTTCGTCAGTTCATATGACTTCACTTAAGGCGTTGCGGAATTTGTGTGAGAAAATATAATAGATTATGTAAAAGTTCAAATGAAAAGTATTTGTTCCATTTTCATACAACACTAACGATTCCGTCTCTCAGACACGAAACAGTATTGAGTTGGAAACGATTTCTGGTAAGATTGGCATCAAATATCCATGCGTTCATCACATATCTTCCTATTTATACTTATATATAAATATATATATATCATTATATATGTATTATTATTAATATAATATAATACACGTTTTAAACAGCAACTTAAGCCAGAAATCATCTTCAAGGAAGTGTCAAAAGCGATAAGCCAGATTGAAAAAAAATATTTAAAACAGATGTATCGTGTATGAACGAAATGCTTTTTACAAGGAATAATCCAAATTAGAATACGTGAGTAGCACGTAACAGTTCACGTGAATTCAAAAGATGTGCAATCATTTTTTGCATGAGCTGATGCACAGAGCGGTTGTTCTCCATTTCATCACTTGTTCTATTTCGTCTATCATACACTCCCTACTTCTTTCATTCACTATTTCAGATTTTAAAGATGTGTTGAAGCAAAAAAGAAAATGTTAAAAGAAATTCAGATAGTTGAGACAGACTTTGGATAAAAATAAATGTTTGATCTTTGCCTCTTTTGACCGATAGGCATAGTCAAGTAAGAAGCCTCAAAAAATAGATGAAGAAAAAAGCAATACTAGAAAATGCAAATTAGCAAAGAAGAAGAGTTAAAAGAAAATTATGCTTGTCATTTGCTTGAACCTCAGTCATACAGGGGTGGTCCATCAGCTTCCATAATTCTTTCTTTCTCTAAATTTTTTCTTCTCACATCATCTCTCCATTTTCATTGTTCTGTTTGATTGTCTACTATTGTCTCATCAGTTCATATGTTCTCTAGCTGCCGTCTGATTTAGCTCTGCTTTTCGTTTGATGTCTCGTCTCCAGCTGGTGCCAGCCGGTGCCCTCCTGGGCGATTCCGAAAAAAACTCTGATACATACACACAAATATATGTATGTATACATATACACACATATAATATATAAAGTAAGAGGAGAGAAAAAGAAAAAGAGAACCATTTGATTGTGGAACGAGAGAGAGAGAGAGAGTGTGAAAGCAAAAATGAAAGCGCATGTGAGAGATTCACAATTTTGTTATGTTTCACTTGAATCATATCAGCCGATTCTATGGCCTCCTTCAAAGATTAATCTTAAGGAAGTTATCAGGAGATGGACAAATGACCCAAACATCAGAAAGACAACATGATACAAGTAGAAGTTGCGAAATCATCTGGTTTTTCTCAATGCATGAGATAGAAATTGAATGTTCAGATGGTTTTTTTCAATGAGAAGAAGAAAAGACATCTACATATAAGGTCAAAATTAGAACAAAAGAAAGAATTTCTATTTTGAACAATTCAAAAACAGGTTATCATGTTGATAAGCACATGATGATGCGGATAATGGAGACTGTGTCAAATCATTTCAGCTGAAATTTGCTGTGGTCCCAGACCAAGCCTCTCATCATCCAATCCTATCCTTCAGTGCTGCAACTGAAATGCAAACAAACACGACCAGGCACAAAGCCTCGCAGAGTTTTTACATTTTGTTCAAAAAAATCTTTTTTTGTCATCAGTTAGTTGAAGATTTCATAAAAAGCAAAAAGTTTGAAGAAATCATGATTTGAGAAGAAGAAGAAAAAAAAGAAGAAAAAAGAGAAAAATCAAAAATGAATTATGCCTTCTCTGCACCTACTCTCACTTCCTTGTTGTTGATATCACTGTGCTAGCTTGGTCGATGGCATTGAGAAGAGAGTCCGAAAGTTCGTGTTGCCTTCGAAACAGTGCTCGCGCTTTTACTCCCTCTCTCTCCCACTTCCCTCATCCCCTCTCTCTCTCTGTTTCTCTCTGTCTCATTACCAAAAAAATATTTTATTTAAGCTTCCTTGCAAAAAGGTAATGATATTCAAATTCATAAAAAAACGAATATTAATCTATCCCTTGTTTCTCTGTCTAATTTCAAGTTATATTCTTATCAAGTTTTAAATGGCCATTGGGCATTCAAATAGATTTCATTTCTCGTCCTAGTACGTACTATTTGAAAAGTACGAATAAGGAAAATGATTAATTTGTAATGATAAGCTTTGCCAATTTTTTTATATTTGAAATAGATGTTTACTGTGATTTCCTACATATTAGTTGATTATATGAGATTGTGGTTGAAAGAAACGTCATCTCATGTAATCAGTGGGTGGTGAAGAGTCATTTCAAAGCATCATTGATAGTTAGCATAAAGAGAAGAATCTTATCAGTCAAACAAAAGAAGAAGCAATATGAAAAGTTTAAGAATTTTCAATTTTCTACACTTCATTTATGCTTTCCATATCTTTCATTCTAGTGTGACTAAGTTAAAAGGTCATTCAGCTCGGCTTTCTCTTCTCTCATTGAGAAACACATGGTTGTGCCTGGATGTGGATGTTGCAACTGCCCTTGCTCC